TCTTCTTAGGCATTACTTTCAACGGCGACAAAAAAGTCGCCGCAGAAAACACTTTCGACGGCGACTTTTTTGTCGCCGCTGAAAGACTTTTTGACGGCGACAAATGTCGCCGTTGAAAGTATCTTTTAGCGGCGACCTTTTTAGTCGCCACTGAAAGTTTTCAGCCACGGTTGCTACGGCAACGACTTTTCAGCGGCGACTTTGAAAGTCAATTTTTTTGTAGTGATAGTTGATTAAGGAGTTGATTTATAACTTATAAAGTTATGAGTTTTAATTATGCTGTCGATATAAGAATTTTGTTAATAGATAATATTTAAATATTTATATTAGCACTTTTCTGGTCTGAAAACATATCAAAGTCTCTGAGACCTAATTCACCTAAATTATTTTGGAAAAAAAAAAGTGAATCCTTTAGAGGATTTTTTTTTTCCGTAACTTATTCCAATGCCCATCATAACAATGACATCTAACCTTTTTAATATTTTTAATCTGTAATTTTATTATAATAAATATTTTTTTAAGAAGTGACAGTGATAAAATTATCTTTGAATTTTGTATATATTAAAAAAATTATTTAATATATAAAAATATTAAATTGAATTAATAATCTAAAATCAATTTGGGTAATTCTTATTATGATGAGGGTATTGTACATAGTAACTTCACATTTTTATTATTGGTTTTTTTGGGCTGGTCAAAAAAAGAAAGAAAAAGAAGTTTTTATAAATTTATTTGTTAATACTTATAGTTTATTATAAATTTTATACGTTTTATGTTGATCACCATGCATTGGGTAAGAAGCTGTAACCCCCCCCCCAAAAAAAAACAGAGAGAAAATAATAACAGAGGCCGATTGATTTTAGCTTGAGTAAGATTTGTTCATTCCAGTATCCTTTCGTCGTTAAATGGACTTAAATGTATTCACAATTTGAACAGTGAAAACAAGAGTGAAGAAAATAAGGGGAGAAAAACTCTCCAATCAAATACTCTCCCTAATTATAAGTCTCAATTCTTCTAAATACACATAAAAGCATATGTGATTTTATGTGATTTTGGTCTTTTATAGGAAGTATTCTAGGAAAAATGTTTTAATTATATCCAGAACTTTGTGATGAGACTTATAACTGGGGACCAAAACAAATCTAAAAGCTAGGACTTATGTTTAGAGAAAGAGGCTCTTCTCGGCTCCCCTCCTTTCCCCAAATCATTGTCGTTTTGGGTGTAAAATGAGGGGTACTGCCTTTTTTTTTTTTTTTTAAATAACATCTAGCATCTTGAAGTACTCTTCCGCTCTTTAATATAAAATCTATTTAACTAATTTAATTAGACTAAAAAAGTGATATAAGTTAGTTAATTATAAGAAATATGATATATTTTTCTTAAAACACCATAATCATCTTCTTTAATATCCTCCTTTTCTTTTTTACTTAATTATGATTGAGGGAATATTCATACGGGTAATTTCGAAAAATTATGAGAAATTGGTCTTACATTTAGAACCAAAATCAACTCAATAATTAGGTCTTATATTAAAGACCGGAGAAGTATTATTTAGTAACTCCTAATATCTTAAAATAATTTTAAATAGGAGATGGAGAGTCAGGAACACACGAAGAACCAGAACTTACAATTCAAAAGGATAGGCTGCATTTCACTAATATACAAAATGATAATACTTATACCCAAAAAAAAAAAAAGTAATCACTGCACATTGGTCCTGAAATAGATCCTCTGTTACAAGTGAAGGTCACACACAATCCGCGAAAGAGAAAGGTGAGATATTTGCGCTTTGGAGAAAACTGCTGAGCGTGATGTCTGTTGTTAAAGCAGTGACCAAAGTGCGAATGCTCTGTTGAAGTAAAAAGATAAAAGCAAAGTTTCCTCCGTTTGAGAATACTGCAAAGGATGATTTTTTGGTAACTGCCAGAGATATTTTGGTGTTTCCATTTTTTATTTGAAATAAATAATTCTATGTCCCCGCCCCCCTCTTAAAAATGTACTAAACAAACACACCCATGGCAACTAAGATTACATGGCAATGCATTCCATGAAGGGAAGCCAAAATGCGTAACTTAATTTGCCCAACCTGTGTATTTCCGCCAACTGGACTTTAAAAGGACTAAATTTCCATAAAACTTTAACTAATAGCAGGTGCGTAGCACAACACGAGGATAATATTTCATCAAGTCTATAGTCGATATATGTATCTATTTGGTTTCTGCGAAGAGCTTCATGAAGGTGGCTTGTGAACTTGAAGCGGTTGGCCTCGCCTGATCTGAAGCTAATATTTCTTTGGAGATTGAGAAGAGGAAGCAGTGGAAGAAGATGAGGCCATATCAGATTGCTTGGCTACTATCAGCAAATTAAAAGAGAACTGCGACTGCTTTCAATTCAGATTTTAGCATGATTGGTAATAGGAAACAAACCAGCCTAAGAGGAATACTTTCCCGTTCTTAATATGAACTCAATTGTTAATTTTTATTCTAAATATAAGACATATTTTCATATTTATTAACTTTTTCTAAATTACTCCTATGAATACTCTCTCAATCATAATCAAATAAGTGAGGGAAAGGAGGATATAAAGAAAGATGATTGTGGTGTTTTAAGAAAAACATGTCACTTTTCTTATAATCAATAATCTTACCTAATTTTCTTAATTTAATTAAATTAGTTAAATAAATTTTATATTAAAAATCAGAGAAATATAAGATTTGGCAGAGTAGATTGAGGGGAACCAAGTCAATGAAAATGGGATCAAAATGAAAATTAAATAATCATAAATTGCAAAGAAAGGCGGTCCTGCCGAGCTATTAGTGTGGGGAAAAGACAGCACTAAATGAAGAACATAGTACAAAGAGAAAGGAAACTCCAGTGACACTTTCTCCGAAATGTCGAAAGCATAATCAAATTTTCCAAGTGCTGGTCAAAAAGACAACATAGTACAAAGAGAAAGGAAACTCCAGTGACACTTTCTCCGAAATGTCGAAAGCTTAATCAAATTTTCCAAGTGCTGGTCAAAAAGACAAAGAAAATCAAATTTCCTAAGAAAATATGGACGCCTGCTGTCAAATGTCCTCGTAAAATATAATTTAATAAAGCATTATAATTATACCTCTCTTAGTTTTCCCCTGGGCAGCATTGGGAATAATATAACGGAGTAAACCCAAAAAGCAAGTCAATTGCGCGCAGAGGATGGGCTGACCGTGACTCTGTAAGTAACAAACAGGGAGGAATAAGTTATGGATTGCGCGTGACAGTGAGAATAGTGAAACTACACTCATAACCGCGAAAATTAAAGTAGAAAGTTCACACACAATTGAATAGCTTGTTTGCTTATAATTATCTGTGAATAATTTTGTCTTCTATTAAAGATGAAAAATAGTATAAGGAAGATGAAGGGCCTGTTTGTTTTTGTTCTTTGTTTTCTTATTATCAAAACAATTTTATAAAATTATTTTTAAGAACAGGTTTTGGAAACCAAAAATAAAAAAATTTGTTTGGAAAATAATTTTTAAAAAATCACATTTGGAAAAATATATATAAAAAATTACACTTTAACAAGTGGTAGTTATCACCGGTAATGATAAGTAATAGATAGTAGAGGAGAAGAAAAGAAGATTTCTCCAATTTTTCAAAACAAAAAAAAAAAAAAAAAAAAAAACAAAAGCAAAAAAAACATATAAAAATTGTTTTGGTTTTTCAGTTTTTAAAAATATATTATTATTTTTTGTTTTTTAAAACAATCAACTAAAAACAAATTGCCAAACAAAGTTTTTTATTTTTCATTTTTAAAAATAAAAAACTCAAAGCACCCATCTTATCACACTTGGACAAGAGAAGTGATGCTAGCTCATTACACCATCCTGCTTCAAGACGGCGAAGGTAACGCAGCTTAATCAATTTGTGAACACTTCTCACATATCTGCAATTGTTTAGAGATAATGAACGAATTTTGCTGCGATGCCCACTTGATGAGCGCAACACACCACTGATGGCAGTTCCTGAAAGGTTTAATTTGAACTCATCATTTTCTGAGGTCACAAAAAATTCCTCCAGACTTGAGCAACCACCTGCATCGAGCCGAATGAGAGACTGGAGATGGGTATAGCTTGTAAGGCTGGTAAGAGACTTGCAATCGCGTAGCCATAAACCACGCAGGCTGTGGCAAGATAAAATAGACGGATGAACACTTTGCAATTTTGAACAACCATTGAGATTAACATGCTCAAGACTTGTGGCGTTGGAAAAATCTGGGAGTTCAATCAAGTCTTCTGATCCAGCAAGCGTAATTTCGATTCAGTTCGGAAGTTCCTGTAAAAACATAAATTACATGATAAGATTGGCGGCCAAAACAAAATTAAGTAACTCATCTATTCCTTTTTATAAGGTTTCGCTGCTGTTTTGCTGAGAAAATTAGTTGAAATTAGCTATTGTCAACAAATTTTACAACTTTTCATAATCTCAATCAATACTCCCTTCGATTGAAGATATCAAATAACTAAATCACATAATTTTAATAAAATTAGTTATAAATAATAAATAATAAATAATAAAAGAAAATATAACTTGTTTTCTTAAAACACGTTTATTTATGAAGAGGACAAATGAGAGAAAAAATATGTAGAAAAAGAGATATGAGAGAATAAGTGGGGGGAAAAAAGAATTAGAAAGATATATAATTAATTAAGAGTAAAAATAAAAATGATGTATTTAATGATTAGATAAATCCAAATTATAACTTATAAAATAAAACAAAAAAAGCTTCAAAGATTTGATGCTTATAATTCAACAAAGATGGTAATCTTTATAAGTAAAGGTCATGGAGCTTAGTGTGAGGGTGAAAGACGAAGGCATTTATTTAGAATGGGTTATCAATATGTCATTGAATTTTGTAAGAGATTTTATCTGGACCTCAAAAATGGACTGAGGAGAGAGTACTTAATAAAGATTTTCCAACTAATGTATTAACAATATTCACCAAGGACAAAATATAAAATTCACTGCACTCCATCCCAAAGTCTTGTCAAATTGCTGTCGGGCATTTGGAATTCAACAAGATTTTCAGCCTTGAATGTTGCCGGCAAGGACGCACAAGGGTATGCCGTCCAACACAATTTTATGAGTCCTTCTGGCAAAAAGTCTAATCCATCAGGAATTTCTACCTTGACTTCATCCCCACCAAAGATTTTGTGATAAGAATAAAAATTAAGAATCTTTAGGTTGGGCATTGAACGAAAGGCTCTACGACTTAAGCGCATCTCTCCAACTTCTCGAAGGTTCAGTCTTACACCTTCAACGGCTTTACTTCTCTAACAAATGGGGGGAAAAAAAACTTTAGTAATAAAAATATTATGTAAATTAAATAGGAATACTGAATTCAAAAAAAATTTTATATAAAAATATGAAGAAATTTTGCTCTTACCTTTTTTGCCACCAATATTTCAGATATTTCTTTAGGATCCCATAATCGACTGCGCTTTCTAGGATGTTTTGGTGACTCATCACGAACAGCCTGTCGACCCATTTCTCTTAGCAGATCGTGCATTGATATGCTCCCAAATTCATCAACTTCTAAAAGAGCTATCTCTCTAAGTCTGTTCAATTCAGAACAGATTGAATAACCACGTCGTGCTTTTAACAAATTTTTTATCGCCTCAACACCATCAGTTGAAAGACGTCCCTCAACATCATTATTATCACCAGTTAAAAGACATGCGATATCCAAGAAACTCTCTCTCCCTCCATCATCAAGTCCTTCAAGACTTATTTTTAGGACGTCGTTAATTCGTTGATCAGGTAATATTTTTAGTTTTTCTAGTAGGCTTTCCCAAACTTCTTGATCTTTCTCATTAGGCAAGGAGGAACCTAAAACTTTTAGGGCCAATGGATTTCCATTTGCATAACTAGTCACTTTCTTTGCCAAACTTTCTAGATTTGGGTCAGGGACAGGGCAGTTTTTTCCCGAGGCATGTAAAGAGAAAAGTTGAAAAGCCTCATTAGGATCCAAACCCTGCAGTTCATATATAGCATCACTATCTACTTTAGTACCAAGGACTAGTGTATCTCTAGTTGTTATTAAGATTTTACTCCCTGGTTTAAACCAATTGCGCTGTCCAACCAAATTGTCCACTTGATCAAATTATCAACATCATCAAAAACAATGAAAACCTCTTTCCGTTTAAGTCTCGTCATGTCATAAGGGTCAGTGTGAGGATTTTTATCCCCTAATAATGCCGAAATAAGATCTTTCTTCACAGCGTCTATTCCATGATTCTTTGATTTTTCTCCCACTTTTTCCATAAAGACAGACCCTTCGTATTCAGAATGCCACTTGTTATACAATGCTCTTGCAAGAGTTGTTTGCACAAACCGCCCATCCCCAAAATGCAAATAATTCGGACATCGTTGGACTCCTTGTCCAACAATGATTCTACGTATTCCATTCTCTCTTCAATTCCAATCAAGCCCTCTCCATTATTTCCACTTGGATACCGTTTTCGCAACCTTTTGTTAACACTTTCCACTATTCTTTAATTTCATCTGCTTCATGATCTCTGCACACCATTGAAAGAGTGAAGATGCACCAAATTTAATATCGCGTTATCTATTCAAAATTTTTAACTATCCTAATGAAATGCAACTTCGAAGATTTGTCAATTTTGAAAATGTGTTCTTATTAATAGTTTTCTTGAAAAACATTGCTCCTCATTCTTTATTATAAGAAATAATTATGAAGTATGTCATGTTTTTTAGAGGTATTTAGAAGTTGTCTCAA